CCTGTGGCAGGGCACCCTGTTGTGAATGGGCTGGTAGGCACTCTGGTTCAGGGAGCATTGCATAGCCCTGGGCAACCTCCTTCCCTGCCCCTACATCTCTAAGTCCCTGGCAGGAAACCTGCTTTCTGTATTGAGGTACAACTCCATTAATGGATCCAACCACTCAAAATATGCACATTCAAATGGAAAGTTTCCTTCTACACTGATGCCTTCAACACTTCCATCCCCTGGAGGCTTTTATCGAGGGGCAGCTCCAGACTGCATCCATGCCCATGCCCATGCCCATGCTGCAGACTTGCTGTGTGGCCATGCATGACTTTCAATCATAGCTTTCACCGATGCTGAGCGTGAATTTTCCTCCATTTGTGCGTCCTGGTTTTCAGACACTTGAGCAGAGCGTGAGTCACAAGACAGATGCTCAGCCCCTCCTGGCAAATCAGGCTCTGTACAGTTGAAGGCACTTGAATGTCACTAGTCACTCCTGAAACTCCTGTCCAGGACTTTCAATAGCTATTTTTCCTAAGGGAAACCTTGAGGCACTCACTCCTTTGTTAAGAGCTTTGCTCTTTTAAGAGCATGACCGAGTATCACGGCTTTCCCAGCTGAACGAGACTTCCCTTACGAATTTCTGCACGCAGGGAGTCATGCCACGGGAAGGAGTCCCCATCAGGTTTTGGAAAGCTCGTGGCTTTACCAAAATTAAAAGCACTAGAAATATTTGTGCAGAGCCTTTTTAAATTTAATGAATACCTTTGGTGCTTGGCCTTCCAAACCCAGCAGTGCAGGACTGGGCATTAAAGGCATGGAGAGAAAAAGGGACCTGTCCTCATCATTCAGGGCTGAAGAATGTGGAGATGCACAGAAGGTGGAAAAGAGATTGACTTTTGCATCTCTGTTTAGGTTTTAAAACTTCTCCAGCTGGAGGCCATGCAAGGAAACAAGAACAAGCTCTCCCTCCCTGGGACGTGGGCAGCTCTGCTTCACACACCTGCTTGAAGCTGCCATTGTGACACCCGCTCGCTCCAGGCCAGGGCAGCACCAACTGGAGGGATGGGACCTCCCTTTATGATGTGTCCCTTAGCAACGATGGTATCCTGGAGACTCCTCTGCACCTTCCTGCTCCCACTTCACTACCTCTCCAATGAGCTTGGCAGCTGTTGCCCTGCAGAGCTATTTGCAGAGCTGTTAGCCCTGAAGACTGGAAGCCAGATTTCGAAGCCAGGAGATGGGCTGGAAAGCCACCAGGCAGAATTCCCTCCAGATCAAAATGATGGAAGAAATGAAGAAAGGGGTCCTTGAAACCCCCCTGGCATTTTTCCCTACGCTGCGGAGTCTTTCTGTGCATGGTGAGGTCCTGCAGAGTCCGGTCGCAGGCATCGCACTGCCTAGGAGGTTAAATATAGCAACAGGCGTGTGAGCCCTTTGGCATGCCCTGCATAGAGGATGGGTCCCAAGAGATCCCACCACCTTAGAGTCGTACAGCCATAGAAAATGAGGGTTGGAAGGGACTTCAGGAGGTCACATCTAGTCCAACCCCCTGCTCAAAGCAGGACCAGTCCCAATTATATTATCCCAGACAAGGCTTTGTCTACCCAGGTCTTAAAACCCTCCGAAGATGGAGAGTCCACAACCTCTCTGGGGAGCCTGTTCCAACATTTTACTACCCTTCTCCTGAGAGAGTTTTCCCTAATTTCTAACCTCAACTTCCCTTGCTGCAGCTTGAGCCCATTGCTCCTTGTCCTGTCATCTGCCCCCACTGAGAACAGCCCAACTCCGTCCTCTTTTGATCCCCCTGCAGGGAGTGACGGGCTGCTATCAAATTCCCCCTGAGTCTTCTCTTCTCCAGATTAAATAAGCCCAGTTCCCTCAGCCTCTCCTCATAAATCATATCCCCCAGCCCTCAATCATTTTTGTTGCTCTCCATTGGACTCCCTCTTATTTGTCCACATCGTGTCTGCAGTGGGGGATCCAAAACTGGGCACAGGACTCCAGATGTGGCCTCACCACTGCTGAATAGAGGGGAAGAATCACTGCCCTCAATCTGCCGGCAATGCTTCTACTAATTCAGTCCAGTATGATGTTAGCCTTCTTTACAACAAGGACACACTGCTGGCTCATATTCAGCTTATTGTCCCCTGTCCCCCCCAGGTCCTTTTCTGCAGAACTGCTGCCCAGCCAGTCAGCCCCAGCCTGCACCGGTGCATGGGATTGCTCCCTCCTAAGTGCAGGACTTTGCACTTGTTCTTGTTGAACCTCATGAGATTCCTTTTGGCCCAACCCTCCAATTTGTCTAGGTCACTCTGAATCCTAGCCCTACCCCGCAGAGTTTCTACTACTCCCCCTAGTTTGTCATCCACAAACTTGCTGAGGGTGCACTGCATCCCATCTTCCAGGTCGTTGATGAAGATATTGTACAAAACCGGCCCCGGGACTGACCTCTGGGCATCCACTTGAGGCCAGCTGCCAACTAGACATCGAGCCATTGACTACTACCCTCTGAGCCCGATGATCCAGCCAATTTTCTATCCACCTTACAGTCCATTCATTCACCTCCTACTTCCTTCCTTAGCTTGCTGGCAAGAATGCTGTGGGAGACCATATCAAAAGCCTTGCTAAAGTCAAGGTATGTATCTCATCCACTGCTCTTCCCACATCCACAAAGGCAGTCATCTCCTCATCAAAGGCAATCAGGTTGGTCAGGCATGACTTGCCCTTGGTGAATCCATGTGGATGAATCACCTTTTCCTAATCACCTTCTTCTCCTCCAAGTGCTTAGACATAGATTCCTTGGGGATCTGCTCCATGATTTTTCCAAGGGATGAGATGAGGCTGATCAGTCTGTAGTTCCCTGGGTTGTCCTTTTTCCCTTTCTTAAATACGGGCACTATATTTGCCCTTTTCCAATCATCTGAGACCTCTCCCAATTGCCATGAGTTTTCAAAGATGGTGGCCAGTGGCTCTGCAGTCACATCAGTGAACTCCCTCAGCACCCTCGGGTGCATATACCAGCCCCACAGACTTATATATGTCCAGCTTGTCTAAATAGTCCCTACCTGCTCTTTCACCACAGTTGGCTGCTCACCTCCTCCCCAAACCGTGCTACCCGGTGCAGTAGTCTGGGAGCTGACCTTGCCTTGTGAAGACAGAGGTGAAAAAGGCATTAAGTACTTCAACCTTTTCTACATCCTCTGCCACTAGGTTGCCTCCCCCATTCAAGAAGGGACCCACGTTTCCCCTGACCTTCCTCTTGTTGCTGACATACTTGTAGAAACCCTTCTTGTTACCCTTCACATCCCTTGCTAGCTGCAACCCCAACTGCACATTGACCTTCCTGATTTCATCCCTGCATGCCCGAGCGATGCTCTTATACACCTCCCTAACTATTTGTCCAAGTTTCCACTTCTTATAAGCTTCCTTTTTGTGATTTAGTTTACTGAAGAGTTCCTGCTAAGCCAAGCTGTTCTTCTGCCATACTTGCTAGTCTTCCTGCTCATCAGGACGGCTTGTTCCCAAGCCCTTGGTAAGGTTTTCCTTAAAATAACAACCAGCACTCCTGCAGTCCTTTCCCCCCCAGTCTGGCCACCCAGGGGATCCTGCCCAACAATTCCCCGAGGGAATCGAAGTTGGCTTTTCTGAAGTCCAGAGTCCTTACTCTGCTGCTCGCCATCCTTCCTTTCCTCAGGATCCTGAACTCAGTCATCTCGAGGTCACTGCTGCCCAAGTTGCCATCCACTACTACACTCCCCACCAACTCTTAAGTCAGGAGTTGTGACTTAAGGCCGAGATGTTGTAGCTAGGACTCCTGCTAGCTAAATCTAGCTCCTGAATCCTCCATCAACCTCCTGTGTGGCCCTTGGACAGAAGTCCCTTGATAGCTGGGCTTTGCTTTCCTTGTTCATAGCATGGGAGGAAATGCTTGTCTCCAGGTGGAGATTTGCCCAGTTTAACTCCTCCTCTTTTGGTGCATGTGTCAGAAATGTCTCAGCTAAAATATTGACTAGAAGCAGGTTGGATGGATTTATATGTGCCCAAATATGGATTAAATATACATGATGGGTTGTGCTGGAGCCCTCTCTGCCGTTGGGAATGGCAGGGCATTCAGTAGCTCAGCCCTCTACCGAGCCTTTTAGTGGATGTTCAACTGGGGAGTTTTCTTAGTGACTGGGTAGCATTTTACAACTTTATCTTGGAAAGAAGGGAGTTGTGTTGGGTTGGTTTCCTCCATGAAAGCATAGGCTTCCTGCGGTCCATTGCTGGGCTACAATGACGTTGCCAGAAACAGCAGTCCCAAGTGCTGTTTGCATGAAAATCTGTAGCTGGGTGGGGTCCGAAATTCTGTTTCTCTTATTTTCTTTACTTACTTTATTTTTTTTTTTTGCCTACAAATTGGTGAACTGGGTTGTGAACTGCAGACACACGGCTCCTGGTAACATGCCCAGCCTTTGTCCTCACACATTTCCTGAGGATTTTAAAAGCAATTGGGAGCAAAATCAGGCTGTAAATGAAAACACAGTTGAAACATCTACTAGGAATCAACTTTCATTGCTCCCTAAGATGTATTTATCCTATGTGTGGTGCTGTACCTAGGCTCCTGGAGGCCCTGGGCAAACTTTTAGTAGCAGGCGCTCCTTCTCCAGAGATTATGATAATAATAATTGGAGTTGTTGCAAAAGTCTTTATCACAGCTGTCCTTAAATGTCCTTAAATAGTTCATTCTCAATTGATAACATTGCCAGTCCCGTATATATGCAGTATTCAGACTTTTTTTGTTTTTTGCAATAGTAATTTTTGGTTTTTGGTTTTTTTCATTTTCGAGCCCCCTTTCTGTCCAGGCCCTGGACAGCCACCCAATTCGCCCATGCCTGTGTCAAGTGATTATATGTGGGTCTTGTAACGACCCTGGTCAAAAATCAGGGGACTGTCTTCCTCCTGAATGCAGTGCATTAATTAATCTGTGTTTTGTCGTCAAGAATGTGACATGTCTTTCACTTGCATTTTAGAAATCAGAAATGTTTGGGTCGGAGTATCTAATTTTGTTTCCCGGAACCTCTCCATGGACAAGGTGGGGGCGCTCTGCTACTTCCTTTTGTATCCATATGTACCCGACTGGGTTCATTTAGTCTGTTTTTAAATGAGAAATGATCTTACTTAAAAGAAAAAAAAGTAGTCTTCTCCAAGACAGCAAATACCTCCACTCCCATCAGGCTGGTACCAGCCAATCAGGTTGATCAGAGATTCGGGCAAAATCTAGCATAAGTCCTGCTCTTTCATTTCCCTCTTTTAATGATCTGGTCTAACAAAGTAACTCATGTTTTATTAAATCCTCGCTCATCTAAGCAGTCTGTACTCGTGGCAGTGGCCTCCAACTATAGCCCAGGGCACTCCTCCTGTAGTTGAGGAGGAGGGCTCATCTAGATCAGGCTTAGCAATGACAAGCCCTTTGGTTGTAAACTCTTTGGGACTCCTCTGTGTTAGGCCCATTGGCCCCCATGTCACTACATCTGGTTTAAAACTGTGTAAGCAAGAGAGAGAAGAAAACTATGAAACATTCCATAATGCCACAGAGCTTTAAAGCGGATCCAAACTGCTTCTTCTGCACAGGAAAACACACAAGTGTGACGAGATCATGCCAGCACCACCGGCACAATGCTTTGATGCAACCTGGGACATGACAAATCAGCTCCAATTTTTCCCACCCTCAATATTTATTGTTTCTTTTTTTCAGGGTGCCAATGTCCCTGGACTGGGAATATTCTCATTAGCTCGAACAAAGCTAGATCTGGGTGGCAACAGATTTATTGCAATACAAAGACCTGTGTTTCTCTTGTCTGAGAAACTTTCCCGGGCCTATGGACTGAAACAATCAAAACCATACACTCCTGGTAAGATGACTGATTAAAGCCTCTGCCTTTTTTTTAGACTGCATTTATACCCTGTTTTCATCGTAATTCATCTTGTTATAAATATGTAAGAACAACAGGGCTCGATACAACAGAGAATTCATTCCAGTTGTTTCAACAACAGCTTAGACTCTATCCAGAAAACACCGAGAACGTATGTCTTTAAAGCTAGTGTTGCATATATTTAAAAAAGGAGGTCTAAAGTTAGACCAACTCTGTTTGAAATGTTCCTTTCACTTCTGCTCCCTGAGATCGTGCACGCCTGTTATTATCATGATGCTGAATTTGCATGTTTTAATCAGCCAGCCCATTCCCAGGTGGAGCCAGTTCCTGCCAGCCTCAGGAGCCTGCTGAAGGCAGAAGTGGCGAGAGGCCCAATCTTTTTTTCTGCAGAGGCACAGATTAATGGCCCCATGGGTGCAAGAGAGGTAGGCAGACTCCACAGAAAAAAAAGCAGATCGGGTCCTTTGCTGCTTCTGCCTTCAGCAGGCACCTGAGGCCACCAGGCCAATAACATATATACAGCGACAGAAAAATAAAACCCACTATTTCAATTAAAAACTCACTGTTTCAATTTAAGGGGCATAGAATTCAGTGTGAAGGACTCGACCCCGTCATGTGTACAAGCGCCCTAACTACATGTTGGTAAATGGTGTAATTCGGTCAGTGCAACGCCCGAGTTGTGGGTGCACTTGGTGTGGTGCAAAGATCTCTCCTCCTGGTAGAGCTTTATAGGTATGACCTGCTCTTATTCATTGATGGTGGTGTATTGGGCACCTGTACATCAATCTGGTTGTCGTCCATGCTGGGGATTATACGGATTCATCTGGTTTGGATCAAATGAAAAAACAGATTGCCCTCCTAATGGAAACAGGGGATCTTATAGAAGAACTCCATGCAGCCCAGGCGTGATTCTCTTCCCCATTTTACTGGGCTTGTGCGTGTGAAAGAGTCCATAGTTACACTGGCAGAAAAACAGTGGAGAAGTTCGACACTGCATCTCTTAAATGAGTTGCAAACTTCAAATTCTGACTGCTTGGTGTTAACAGTGGCCCCCTTTCACTGTATCAGAGAGGTCTCCACACCCATAGTCTACCTCCATGTTCACCTGAAACTCCAGTCCTCATCCAATGGATGTGGCCTGCTTTTCCTCCTCCCCTGACATCCATCACTATTTGTTAGGCAGCTTCAGGTTGTTTCTACACAGCTCTGAGATCCTTCTTAATGAAGGTGTTAAACAGATCAGATACCGCAATGGCTGATTAAATGGGTGGGTTGACATCCCAGGGCGTTGTGAGGCTTTATTCAGTTTTGTTTGCATGCTCCCAGCTTCTCCCCCAAAGATGCCCCAAGAGTGCAAAATGGGATTAACTTATTCACAGCCATCTCTATGATGAAGTAGCGTCTGTGTGCCTTTTTGCTGCTCTCGTCCGTTAACTATACACATCTCATTATGTCCTCTGGATACTGATTCCTAGATGCATATCCAGTTGTTCCTCTGAATATAACGACTCTATCTTTGGAGACTGCCTTGAAAAAGAAGGTAATAGAAGATTGCATAAGGGAGACTGTCCTCTATTTCTATCGCCTGATGATTCATGGACAGCCAGTGACATTCCCACTCAGGGGGATTGGTGTTCTGGGTATCCAGAACAAAATAGTGACCATGACCTTTTGCAGAGAGTTCCTGCAAGCCACGGATGGGAGTAGGAACCTGGCCAGCGTGCTTCGGAAGGTAAGTCGGTCATTGTCCTGGAGAGTGTTAGTGTGGCCAGTTCAGCTAGTTTCTTCTGACTACCGGAGCTGCCCAGGGGTGCATCCAGGGGTGCAAGAGCTGTACTTGCATCCTCCATGGCTGTGCAGCACCTGCACAGTGAGCTCTGTGAACTCACCCGCTCATCAGGTGGTTCCTGCCAGAGCCTCTTCCCCCTTGAAGGTCCACTTCAGTTATGAGGCTGCCAGAGCAGTGCCCACCAGTACGGGCTGCAAGGCGGGTGGTGATCTACCTGGGGTGCACAGCTAGTCTTCTATGAAGGTCTTGTTGCTTTGTCCTCCCATTATTCTTATTACATGCAGTGCAGGAGAAGAGAAGATTGAGGGGGGATTTAATAGCAGCCTTCAGCTCCCTGCAGGGGGTTGCAAAGAGGATGGAGCTGGGTTGTTTTCAGCGGTGGCAGATGAGAGAACAAGGAGCAATGGGCTCAGTTTGCAGCAAGGGAAGTTTAGGTCAGAAATTAGGAAAAGCTTTCTCTTGAGGTTAGTAAAGCACTGTAACAGGTTATGCAGAGAGGCTGTGCAAACTCCATCCTTAGAGTGTATTAGGGCCTGGGTACACAGAGCCTTGGCTTGGATGATCTAGTTGGGGATGGTCCTTCTTTGATTGGACTAGATGACCTCCTGAGGTCTCTTCCAACCCCAATTTTCCATTATTCTATGATTGCATTAGATCCTAGAGGTCTCTTCTAAGTTCAGAGCCACATCCATAAGTTCAGGGGGTACTTTGCGTTGGTCTTTCATCAGTCCAATGGGACCACCCTGCCTAGCAAGATGTGGGAAGGCCAGGGTGAGTGCATATTTATACCCAGCATCTGTGTTGATCTAGTAGCAGGAGGTTGTTGTAGAAGTAGGAAGGTTTGCCTTGCATGCTTCCTGCCTGCTAACTTCTGCAGAATCATCTATATTGTGTCAGGTGCCTTTGCTGAGGACTGTGGCAGAAGACTCAATAACTTTCCAACAAGCCACTTCACCCGTTTCAAGAGGGTCGGGTTCAAGGACACCCCCCATTTCTTCCCATGTGGCCAGACCTCGGAAGTTGCCAAGGTAAGTACGTTTGCTTCCTTTCCAGTTTGTGGACTACTTGTTCAGCTCAGCTTGCACTTTGCAAAAGAGGCTTAGCATGAGGGTCTAACCCTTACAGGCAGAACTACTAAGGGAGCCCAGCTCCAAATGCGTGGGAGTGTTAAGCTGAGCACTGAGAGAAGGGATGCAATATAATCAAGCGTGGGGTGTCTGCAGAGTACGTGATGCCTGAGGGCAAAAGAAGGCATGGATGCCCCATATCCCAAGCTCATGCAGTTCAAGCCTTCAATATTGAGCTTCATCTGATGGTCTTGAAACTGCTACCCGGATCTGCTCAGCGCGTGTAAGTGTGTCAAGATTCGGCTCTGAGTAAGAACATTTCAGGATGTTGCCTGTCGACAGTGTTCCTCAAGAGTATGCATTTACAGGCAATAATATGTGATAAATTAACCCCAGACTCCTGCAATGCAAACCTGCAGTGTTGAGCTTTGGCACCTTACAGCGTAAACTGTCCTAGACAGCGCTAAGCGACTCGCAGTATTTCGGTAGATTCAATTCTTTCTGCCTTGCACCTCGGGAAGGAAGCTCCCATCCAGACTGGCCTTTTTTTATAGCAATTCTTGTACTTGCCTATTCCTTCAGAATAGTTTATGAGCACCTTTTGAAAGCCACCTCTTTCCAGATGTGGTAGCCTCATCAGTCTGATGTCATGCAGAAGGTACAGCAGGTTGGCACCTTGGAGACTAACTGGCTCAGAAAGGCAGGAGCCGTTGTGGGTCTGATCAAGTAGATTGTTCCCTGTGAAAGCTCATGTCTCTCTGAACCGGTTAGCCTAAAAGGTGCTCCCTGCACAACCCTACATATAGCTCTACAGTTCGGGTGTGACCCAACTATTAGTGCAGCCTGCAGCAGGAACATGGTGATGTCTAATCAGATGCTGCTTTACAAGATAAACTCAAAACTTTTGCTTGCTTCCAGCCTTGGGTATAAGGAAGCTGATAAGCCAGCAGGCCTGGAAACCATCCAAGCAGAGAATGAAATGGCCAACAAAGAAAAACAGCTAACTCCAAGAGGGGAAGATCATTATCATAATGCAGACAAGAAAGGTAGGCTGAATAACGATAGCTGGATACGGATACCGATGACTTTTCTTCTTGTTAGATGGTCGGAGCCAGATCTTAGGTGTAGTGTAGCACAGCGCCTATTGTAGCATTGGAAGTAGCCACAGTACTGCAAATAAAGCATGGCATCAATCGGGGAAAGGCATCACTCAGGAAGCTGGCAGTTGAAATTCAGTCAGATATAGCTAAAGTGCTCTTTCCACTCAGCCCTGTTACCCAGCCTGTATTGTGCGAAAGGAGAGGGGTGAGTGTCAGGCAGATCCCTCGCTTGCTTTTCTTTGATGGGGAAATGTCATCCTGAGCCAACTGTCTGCAGGCTACAAACATTTTTAAATTGACACCTTAACTCATAGTATTGACACGATAACTTCCCGGTGTAGTCGCAGCTCCAAGAGGTGCCGTCTATGTTCTGGTGTCCCGATGGCCTGGGGATCAAATCAGACCAGCCCATCAATGTACAGGTGGAAATGTGCAGCCCAATTAGAAGAAATGCAAAGACCAACTGGCTGATTTTTCGGTGACAAGGATGAATTGCAAGAGGATCACTGGGGAGGTCTTGGAGAGGTGCAGCTCTCCTTGAGTTCGGTGGGAAGCCCATGTGCTCGGCAGTGCTAAAGATCACTCCTATTCATATCGATTTACTTTCTTGCAGCTCCTAAGTCCTTGCTTATAGCCCTCACAGGAAGGTTGTGCTTATTTTTCTGCCCTGATCATTTTTTGCAAAGGAAAATATAATGGCCTGGATCCTAGGGCTACCCAATTTAGACCAGCTGAGGATCAAGAATTGATTTCTGATAGTTGACTCTAGGTGGTGGTCTGCAGACTCCCAGAGGAACTGGCTGTCCTATTCCCTTGGGAACATAGGAAAGCACAAAAAACGTAGATCCTGGGGTGCAATGCTGCACTGGAGAAGCCAAGATTTGCAGGGAAAAAACCCATGTTATGAATGTCAGATAGGCACTAAACCTTGCAGAGCCACTTGCTTCCAAGGAGCTCAGAATCGCTGCCTCGGGACCCTTTAGAGCAGGGCAGCACTTTCTGGCCTGGCTTCCCTGCAGTGTTTTGTCGCCCCTGCAGTTTCTCTTGCTGCCCTGAGCGATCAGAGAGAAGCCGTTCTTGAGGCTTTTCTTCGTGTTTCATGCTTACAGAAACTCTTCCCAAGCAGCATCTTCAGTCCCAATGGAGTCTCGCTCCTGCCAAAGCGGCGATGCTCGTCTGCAGCGATTCACTGGAGAAGACTGCAGAGCAAAACAACGGCTTCGAAAGGTGAGATTCCCTTGGAGAAAATGGGAAATGTTGGTTATGTGGTTTCCTGCGTCCCAACATGGTAAGTTTGTGGGGAAGGTTTTCCCCTTGGTTGCATCCTCCTTCTTAATTGCGAACGCTAAGAAAGAAAACTCATTATAACACTAGACGAAGGATAAACGTTTCTAAAGTTCATTGGCTGCCATTTTCAAATGTGACTTTGGGCCAAATTTTCAAGGGTTTCCAAAGATCCAGACAGATGCATACTGGGTTTCCCGAAACACCCTGCCAGTCAGGCACCTACGGCCCATTGAACCTTGCCCCTTTTTGTGCCTAGATAGCTTTTATTAAGACTTAGGCTTGCTTCTAAGTCACGTTTGAAAATGGCAAGTAGGTTCCTAAGTCAGCTAGTCTTGAAACTGCTCCTCAGATCTGCTCAATGTGACTAAGGTTATCAAGAATCAGGCTTGGAGTAGAAGTTTTGGGAGGTAGGCCGTCACCTGTGTTCATCCACAGTGCCCGTTAAGATGTGATCAGTAGCTATAAATGTGTGCGTTAGAACGAAGCCAGCTACTAATCCAAATCAAGCTGTTTAAAGACGAGCAATGCAAATTGCCATATTCCTGCCATACTCCAGCCCCTCAAATAAGGCAGAAAGTTTTTGGAAGGCATCATGGCAGGAAAAAAAAAGATCTTTCCAGAGCCATGGCCGGTTGTGTGACAGAGTACGTCCTCCTGTCCAGAAAGGTTGGCTTCCAGGAGACAGTCTGGGGGATCCTGCTATGGCAGGACAGGACCAAGGCAAGCGAGGGCAATAACAAGGCTGTTACTTCCTTGCTGCACATAGACGTTCCTGTAAATCATTAATTGTTTCCACGCCACAAGCCTCATCAAGCTACTCCAGGCTGCGTGCAGCAGCTCACTTGCTGCTTCACATGCAAGCTACGGTGCACAGCCAACACCTACTGCTGGGAGAGGGTTATGCCAGGACTGTCCCCCTTGTCCTTGCCGGGTCCGAGAGAAGTGACAACCAGGTTGGCAGCCATTAAAAGCATGTAGACCCTGCTTCTGTTCCAGCAAAGGAAAATCAGCTTCCCTGCTTAACATGCACCCCAGTTTTGGTGAGTGGATATGGCATGGAGGTACATGTGGTATAGAGTCACAGAGGAGTAGGGGTGGAAGGGACCTCCAGAAGTCATCTAGTCTAACCCCCTGCCTGAGGCAGGATCCAAACCATCCTACACCCTCCACAGCCTAAACTATGTAAAACTACCATTGACCCTGACACAACATAGACCTAATGCCCTGGCACAACATAGATAAAGCAGGGGAACTGCGGCAGCCAACGTCCTGCTGCTATGAAATGTTATATTGTGAGTCAATGCGGCACTGGTTTCCATATTGTGCTCGTCGCTGTGGTACCCGAATCCTTCGCCGTCTTTGTAGCGTAGGGTTTGTGGGGGACCAGGTTGTCAGCTGTGAGCAAGAAGAGCTGAAGCCTGCAGCTGGCTGCAGCTGGACGGCTCCTGTTACTGCAGAAACCATATGGGCTTCAGCCTGGCATTACCTTTTCTTCAGGGCTTTGAGTCTTGCCATGATACCAGCTAGGGGAAGAAAGGAAGGGCTCCTTGAGAGTCCTTTGGAGCCCTGTCCTAGTTTTTTGGAGGATGCAGCATTTGGTCCCCATTTGGTCTCAGTCCACCTCTTTGTACATCGTGATATTCGCCTTTTTATCCGCCTTTTACATCTCTGCAGTCAACAGCGATGCCAGCAGATCAGCTGCAAACTCCTCATTTGTAACAAACTGCTATTCCTCGTGTGTTGTGTGTTTTTAGATCGAAGACGGCAAAGGGGCAGCATCCTTCAGAAAAGGAAATAATCCACGATCCCACTCCCAAAATGGCATCCTCTCCCTGTAAGAGCCAGGTCACAGCACGAAAGGTACAGTACATGGATTTAATTGACCTTTCGTGCCACCTTCTTTTTGATACGTGTGTATTGATTTGTAGTACTGAGCCTCCGCGGCTGTTCGGTCTAACAGGACGTGACTGGTTTTTAGAGCTTATATTGGACCTTTTGTTGCTTGTGAAGCACAGTCCAGGTCCAGCTCATGCAATCATAAAGGATTTACTGTTTGTACATATCTGGTTCTAGATACACCAGACTTTTCTCTGATGTTGTTGCATCCCTGTGCTGGTGAATCTGACCTAGATCATAGACTTATAAAGAAGCTGGGCTCTGGAGGTCCCTTCCAGGTCATCTAGTCCAACCCCCTGCATGGGGCAGGATCATCCCTATCCCAACCATCCTATACAATCCATAATCGAAATACTATGTAAGACTGCCATCAACCCTGCCACAGGTAAAGGAGGGGACCCACAAAATGCCTTGCTTCTATAAAATGTTGTCAATATATGCTTAAGAGTTCCCCCTTTGTGTTCTGATTTTAGGAATCCTAACAATGAAAACTGCATAACTACTAAGGCCGCATCCAGACAAGCTTTGTGGCACATGTTAAAATGTGCCCCACACTGCAGTTTCGCAGCACAGGGCCAAAATTTGCTGCTGGGATTTCCCAGTTGCTAAAAAAAAAAATGGAAAAAAAGGGGCGCAATGCATGCATAACAAGCATGCGCCTGCACACACGGAGGCCAGGCCATCCAAAGCAGTGGTCTGGCTATGGGCCACGTCTCTGTGCTGCCCAGCCTGTGCCCCTGCTGCTTCAGGCCACCAGGTAAGACTGCGGGGACTAGTACCAGTGCTGACCCCAGCCTCCAACTCTCCAGCTGAGGAGCTGGGCAAGGGCAGTTTGCCCATTGCAGGACAATTTGTCACACGGACAGAGGCATGCACCAATTTGTGCTGCTGCAAGTGCACACTCGTACACATCTGGATGCAGCCTGCAAGGGAATCTGGTAGCATCTTCAATATCTTCAGCAGTTCAGTGGGTTACCTGTCTGGCTTTAGGTGCCAAGTTTTCTTACCTAACAGCCAAACTGTTCCTGACCTCGTTGGGATAACCCGGTCCAGCATGGTTTGTTTGCAGGGTTTGGGTCCTTGCCCTTCTGTGAAGATGAGAGGTTGGGAACTAGCGCGGGGTGTGCAGCACCGCAGCACGCACCTGCCTGGGACTGCCCAGATACAGCAGCCTTCATTCCCGATGGGAATGCCTCTCCGATCACAGGTGTAGGACCACTGACGTGCCCCAGCTGAGTGGAGAAATGGGGTCCTTTGAAGTTAGGGCCACAGCAAGCAGCTGAGAGGCTCGTTCTGAATACGGCAACCTGCTGCAGACCAAACCAGACAGGAAGGGTCCAAGTCATACTGTGGTTACAAAGGGGAGATTTTCAAAGGGTCTCTGGGCCTGGCCCCATGTCTCTGGGTCACACCTTGAAGGATGTCACACCGTGATGCATGTCCCTCACCCCAACATAGGTAGCCCAACTCCTGGAAATAAGCCAATGTAGCTGCTTCTGAGCAGCCCCAAATATCTTCCCAGAGCTCTTAGGCTCCCTGTCTCGGGGACGCTTATCGGCACATGGTCCAGGCTCCTCTCCAATGACCCTATTTCCTTCTTTCTCTGATTGCCAAGTGATGAAAGGAGGAGTAGTGAGGTTTTTCTTTGTGGTGCAGATACACCCCAGATGAGGCCAAAGGAGCACAATGATAAAGCCCAGTAAGGCTAAAGCCCGTACTTGGGGGGCTGAGACGGACACAAGGGCGTGCGCCCAGTGCCCTTGCACAATCCCCGTTGGCCAGCCCACAGTCGTGGTGCCTCCAGCTGCTCTCAACAAGCACAAAACAACTTTTCCCTGCTCTGTTTCTTCCTCTATTGACAGAAGGGGGCTAGATTTTCTTGAAGGCTCATGCACGTGCCTTTTACTTGGAGAGAGGCTCGAGGGGGAGAAATTAAGAGAGAAAAATAACACGCCACCTTTAAATGCATCTGTTGGCCTGCAGGAACCGTGCTCCCTGTGCTGGGAGCATCTGAGGAAGAGGTTTTCGGAGAAGGGGAGCACAGAGAAGGAAGAAGGGGGCATGGTTGTTCGGAAATTTCAAGATATGAATCTCTTGGAGGCCGTTCTTTGGGACCAGGTACTGCCTGCATCTGGAAGCCTTAAGGGAAATGGTTTCTCTCTGTAGGGAGAGCTGGGTTTTGAATGTTTCCAAGGAGGAAGCAGGAAGGTTGCTGCATGTCCTGCTTGGTTATTCTGAGAGAGAGAGATCCTGCAGAGAGACGTCCTGCTTTGGGGCCCTGGTCAAAAGCCAAGCGAAGACAACGGGAAGAGCCCCCTTGCATCAGTTGGCTTTTCTCCTTCCCTTCATGGGAACTGCAGGCCTCACAAACCACCGCGTGCAGAGTTTGAAGACCTGCCGCAAATGTCTCTGCACGTGGGAGCTCTTTCCTTCCCCGGGTGTCGTTCACTCCAGCAAGGGCAACAGGCACATGCCCTTGTGTCCATCCCAGCCCTCCGGCGAGGGCTCAAGCAGTAGATAAAGCCTTGGGCAAGGTCCTCTGTGCAACACTGAATTTACACTGAACACAGCCCCCTGGCTGACGGCCACCCCTAGTTTTCCGGGGAGACCCTCAGCCCAGCAAGTAGGACCCTGGGACTTGGGGAGCAGGAGAACAGGGGTCTAGTCTCAGCTCTGCCACTGAGTGCTGTATGACCCTGGCAAGTCCCTTCCTCTCTTTGCGCCTCGTTTCTTTGGTCCACAAGTGGAAGATGGTAGTCCACCCTGTAGGAATCAGTTTTACACATCTGGAAGGAAAAGCCAAGTCTAAAGCTAATGGGTCTCTGGCTGTTGACTATACGTATTAGCCAGAATGATGTCAGCTGGACTAATCTTTGTGTGTTTACATATGGCTAGTAGTTTAATGTTGTAGAGCAATTATAAACACTTCAGCACGGCAGACCCAATATAAAGCCCATTCAGTGTTTAGTTTTAACTTCAGTGGCCCCTAATTCTGGCCTTATCTGTGCCAAATATCTATTTCATTGTACAACGAAGCATTTAAATTGAACGTCCTGAGCAGAAACCCATAATCACGGGACGGTTTTTTGCAGCGTTCAGTAGTGTAAGAGTGATATTGTAGCTGTGATGGTCCAGAAATTATGCAAAAGGTGAGAATTTCTTAGGTTGCTACCTTTCATGGGACCAATTAAGTAATAGGGATAAAGTCAGATAAGCTTTCAAATGCAAGACCTTCTTCATCAAGTCTACAGAGCATAGAGAAAACCAGCAGCGGGGAAGGGGCGAGTGTTCAGTGACATTATTTTTTTCCTGTTCAAACCTCTTTCAAATTCATTATATTTTCTTTTCCTCCCACAATAGATGAAAATCATACAGGACAGAAAGCACAGGAAAACCCTTTCTGCCTGTAATGTGACAGTTGCCCATCAAAAAAGGAAGGAAAATGAAAAGCCCAGAAAACAGCATGTAAGCACATTTTTTGTTTTTAAAAAAAAGGGGGGAAATCGCCTCATTCCTTTTCCGGCGCGGCTGCATATTTGTTTTCTACAAGCATTCATAGCATCCGTAACATGTTTAAAAGGCATCAGAAATGGCCGCGTGGCTGAAACCCAGAAAGATTATGATACCAATATTTTCAATGTCCAAATTTTCCAAGGATGGATATTGCTGTTTTGAGCAGTGCGGCTCAGATGTCAAGGCCAGCAGATACCACGTTGACTCCTTATGACCTGTGCAAGATAGGCTATGGGGATTTTCATAGTTTCATAGCTGTTGTTAGGGGCTGGAAGGGACCTGAGCAGGTCCAGCCCCCACCCAGGGTGGCCAGTGTGGGGACTGAACCCAAGACCTTGGCGTTATCAGCACCATTTCATTCAATCCTGCTGTGGAAGGAAATATCCTTGCATCCTGTGTAAGGAAACACTATCTGGCTTGGCAGTAGGTTAACAGTGTGGTGGATGTGCTATGGGGAACAATTTGTGAGACCCTTGTGAAAATGCAGCCACGACAGTGTGGGCAGTACTGGGGCAATTTCTCTCTCTCCGGATACTGCCCACAAGCCTCCCTGTCTGAGGTCATTTTGCAAGGTGTGTATTTAGGGAACTGACCCCATATCTTCACAGAATCGTCTTCTGTCTCTTTTAACTGAAAAATGTTTCTTTTCTTTCAGAGATTTGGCATTGCTAGAGAAAGGATACCAAGTCCTCTTCCCTGGCTTACAGAAAAAGATCGATGGCAGCAAATAATGGAGAAGAGAGAGAAGGAAATGTCTTTAAGACTCAAGAAAGTGTTCATCGCTCACTTGGATCAAGTACGGCTGGCAGAAGAGTAAGTCTGGCTCCCGCCCTGTTGCCTTGGTCTCCATCTCTTCTGGGACAGTGGTGATAAAGGGTCATGCTCTACACATCTGTCTCCAGCTGTCTTGGGAAGTGCCAACAGTAGTAGACTTGGTCCTGTCCTGTGGCACCCTCGAGTGTGTGGTCACTTTACACGCGACAAATGTAACACGTGCCCACAGCCAAAGTATGTTTGCGTGCTTCTTTGCAGAGTTGCTGCCCAAAATGCAAAATATCTAAGAAAAATAAAAGCAGACCAGGAGCGTTATAAGACAGCCTTGGACAACCAGGTAAAAATCTGACCCTTTAATAAGTATTGGGGGAGGGGGGTCTTCTGCACTTGGAGGTAATTTTATTGCACAAATTATACCACCTGGAACAAGTCAAACATGCCAAAAAATCACCAACCCTCTAGCAAAACCCACCCCAACAGAAAAGAAAAACAAAACTGTTTCAGTGCTTTCCTAACTATCCCATGGCTGACGCCTCTGTCACACATTACACGTAAGGCATGATTAACCAGTGAATCGTTTCTTAAATTGTAACCGAGCTACATGTTAAAGCAGTGAATGGCATCATAAAACAAGGAATAAGCCACAAAGGTGCTCCACAAAAAATGTGTAATAACTTTGTGGCTGGTTCTTATCACACCATTAATTGAAGGCATGGCCAGGTGTGCGCCTGTGTTTGAGAGCCCCGGCAGCTAAGCAGGTTCTCAATCATGGGAGCCTGGGATCGTGATCCTGGGTTCCCTCCTGCACCGGCAATATGGTGCGATGGGATCACAGCCATGGCAGGAAGCATGATTGTGTGGCTCGTGCATCAGATCCCATTGCACCTTTACCTATATGTCTGGAAGGGGCCTGAGTGATACCATCTTACAAACCAAAATACCCTTTAGCAAGCTGGGGGAAATCTACCCTGTGATGAGGCGACTCACCAAAAAATTGCTGTTGTGATGCAAACAATAATGACCTCCTGGGCATTTTTTTTCTACCACCAGCTTTGATCATTCTGAGTTTCCAGAGCCAGGAGGTAGATTATTTGCATATATTCACATCTCCATATAAACCCAATACAGGTAAGGAGGGAACTTGAGTGGTTGCCAGGCCCTCGGGTTGGCCAACTGAACCTCATCCTGAGGAAGAACACCATTGCCAACAAGAAGCTGTTAGAGAGAAGACGCTGGGACCAGGAGTTTTCTGCACGCCTGAAGTTGGCTGTCAATATGAGAAAGCAGAAGGCCATCGCCTTGTGCCAGGTTCAAGAGCATAAAGAAAAGGTCCTACAGCGGGAAGCCAGGCGGAAGTAAGTGTGCCGCTCACTCTACCGTTCTCCTTCCTGCGAAGGCCAGGACTGAACTCCCTCCCAGAGCAGTCATGGGTTTTCTCTTTTTTTCACTACATCAGTCCAGGCTTTCACATAGGCACACGCAACACATGAGTCATGTCAGTCAGCCTCCGGATGTCAGTGGGGACTTCTCACATGCTTAAACCTAAGCCTGCGTTGATGTGCTTTGCTGTAGGTAGGCCTATGGGTGCCTGCACATGATGTTGGCAGACAAGGTTCCTTGGGTGAATTTGATATCTTTTATTAGACCAACCCAAATGGTTGGAGAATAGTTATTAAGCAAGCTTTCAGGTTCAAAAACCCTTTGTCAGGCACATGATGTTGGCTTTTTCTAGCTAAAGATATTCTCTGGGTTTATTTCACTCTCTCAATGCACCACGATGAGTCCTGTTCCTATTGTGCACGTAACGCATTTAACACTCATCATTGGTTAATGTACTATTACTAGTAAAAAACACTCGAGGGCAGAACTGGGGAAAAGGGCAATTTGACCTGTGGGCAAGAATACCCGTAATGAATGTTTCACGATAAAACTCAACCTGGTGAAACAGTTGGCCGCGGTAAAACTAAAACATGTTGGAGGTGGTCTAACTTGCCACGATAACCTACCGTGATAAAAAATGTCAACGTGTGTTTTCACATGTGACTAACCTAGCAAAATGGCGATTTTTGGTGCCATTTGGTAACGTGTATCTAAACAACCCACATGGTGTACAAGGGCCCGAAGAGAGCAAGGCCCAAGATACGTATTCTTTTTCCCTCTTCTTCCCTTTGTCCTCTTAGCTCTTCCTCAGAGGTGCAGCTCAAAACATAGGACGATGCCTATTTTTAAAAGATTTCTGAAGGAAAAAGAATAATGTATGGAGCCTAATTGAGAGAACATCTAAAACACTTTGTGTTGTAGACTCCGGTACCATAAGGCCTGTCTCTCATAATGCCCTATGTGGTGTCTTAATACTGCATCATAAAGTGGCGAGGGTCATTCAGCCAGTCGGATCTGCCACATGGCTGGACATTGCTAATATAATTTAATATATGGCGGGTGATTGCAGTGCACTTCCAGTTTCGTGACTGGCACTTCCAGGGGGTGCACGGCCCATCTCAGGGGGTACACCCGCGTGCACCCCCTACGCATCACCAATGATGCTGATGGTGGGGGACACTCCTTTAAAAGCAGAAAAAATAACACAATTGTGTAAGGGCTATTTTGTTGTTTGCCATAAAAGAGCTGTAAAGGGCCTGGAAAGTGCCTTATGAAAGTGGGTCTCCTACCAGCTTCTTCCTGGGGTCTCCTACCAGCACTTCCTGGGGGATAGAAATTTGCCGTATGGATCTCCTGGCTTAAATTAGAGCTGCTGGTCAGACACCCCTTAACCACAAAAGCCATCATCTGTAGGGCATGTTAGGCACTGGCAATAAGGTTTAAATAAAAGATGTAGAAGTTTGTGGACACGTTGGAGAGAGTCCAGCGGAGGGCAATGAAAATGGTTGGGGGCTGGGGGACATGACTTGTGAGGACAGGCTGAGGGAACTGGGCTGATTGAGTCTGCAGAAGAGAAGACCGAGGGGGGTTGAATAGCAGCCTTCAACTCCCTGCAGGGGGTTGCAAAGAGGATGGAGCTGGACTGTTCTCAGTGGGGGCAGATGACAGGACAAGGAGCAATGGGCTCAAATTGCTGCAAAGCACAAGTGGCCCCTGGACAAATGCAGCATCTGGTTCAGAGAGGCATGAGCTTTTGTAGGCAGCCACCTGCTTCATCGTCTGACAAACTCAGTTGTTCTCCTGCTGCACCTGTGGCAGGTTTCGGTGTTATGTCTTGTGTTGTGTCAGGGGTGGCTGTAGTTTTGCGAAGAGGGTGGACAATGGATTTGTACGGGATGGTTTGCATAGGGCTGATCCTGCCTCAGGCAGGAGGTTGGGCGAGATGTGACCTCTGGGGGTCCCTTCCAGCCCCACTTCTCTATGAGAACATTCATTCTTCTCTGAACCAGCGAGTCTCTCCCTGCCCTGCCTTCTGCCTGACCTCAAGCCAAGGTGGCTACCTCGTCTGGAGCACAGTAAAGACGTGTCTTTCAAAAGCCGATCACAGAACGTCCTCCAGGATGTTGTCCAGGATTTATGTAAAAATCCAGTAACAAAATCACTCGATGAGTGCATCTACCCTTGTGCTTTACCGAGGAGCTGACTAACTAGCTCCGCAGTACAGCGTCACAGTCTACACATGCACCCATACTAGGGTGCAGTAAATTAACTAACTCCACTGTAGGGTAATACTGTCCAGGACAAGTACTATCCTACAGTGGAGTAATTTATGTTGCCGCAATGCGGGTGTAGACGATGACTGGGGTTGGTTGGGGTACAAGGGGGCTGCAATGTCAGGGCTGCCTGACAACTAGCCCTGCACTGTAGCACCCTCATGCCCCAGCCACCCCTCTGCCACCTGGACCCTGGGCTTCACCCCCCTCGGGCCTCTTGTCAGCCCAGGGGCTGCTCTGTCCCAGCTCAAATTGCTGTGAACCTAGGCGCACATGTAAACACTGTGCCCGGGAGCAGCTGACTCTGGCGCAAACTGCACCAGAGTTTTTGCCTCAAGGCAAGTGCATGTGTAGATGCACCCAGTGGCTACTAACATGGCCCTTTGATGCCAGCCGGAGTGAAGCCGAGAGTCTCATTAGAGCTTGTGGAAATCAGCCTTATTAATCAAACCATTTGATCAATTTTAGGGGATCCATTTGATCAATTTTTGATCAAAATTACAGTCCACATCTCTGTAAGAAGTTGTGGACTGATGTCACTATAGACAGCTCTACCTGGGGGAAAGGGAGGTGTCACGTGGTGGAGTGTTATTCGGGGACTCCTACGTGTAGGTTTTGTCTGGCTGTTGTTAGATGCTCTGAGCCTTTAGGACAGGGCGGGATATACCATAATCTAATAAATCCATCGATTGGCATTTCCTGGCACTGTTAAAGTACTGCTGAATGAATTCGGCACATTTCTCTATTGGAAACATCAGGCCACGGGTGCACGTTTTTTTGTAGTGCTACGAGGCGCTGTTACACGTGCCCAGCCCCCTGGCTGGAGGGCTGCACGGTCATCCCAAAGGCACGCACTCCAGCCAGGTGGCACAAAGGCTACCCTGAGTTAATGCCAGTGTTACCATCACTTGGGGGCAGTCTCTGTGTCGTGGCAGCCTTTCAGCCAACTCTGCAGGAACCAGCGCTCCCTCGATGTTGGTGGCAGGGGCAGCTGTCTGTCATCATCATGGGAGCACTGGCTTTGCTGTTGCTTCCACTGGTGGCACTATCCCTGACAGCTCGTTGGGCCTGGGTGGGCAGCCAGAGAGCCAGCTGCTCTCCTTCCCCCCACTACCTTGGAGAGGGGTAAAGAAAGTGGAGGACTGTGGGATGCTGGGGGTCTGAGAGACTCCCTGCAGCACTACATGTCCCTGTCTACATATTACACGTGGCACTACAAAAGACCGCACTGCTGGGAAGTTCCTCTTTGAAAAGGGAACACGTATGTGGCAGATATGCCAGTTGTGTGGTGCTACAAACAGCACGAACATCTGGGCGGTCACTTTTGGAGCTGCTATAAATGTAACGTGTGCCCATAGCCAAAGCACGTTTGTGTGGTTCTTTCTAGGGTTGTTGCCCCCAGTACAAGAAGTCTAAGGGACCAAAAAGAAGGAAAGGAGAGTGGTAAGGCAGCCTTGGATGACCAGGTAAAAGACGGACCCTTTCATAAATGTGTGTGTGTGTATGTGCATGTGCACACGCGCCATGCTGGAGCTGTTGCATTGCACAGATTGTACTAAGGGGGACAGTCAAACGTGCCAGCAAACCAGCCCTGGGAAAAGCCACCCCAACAGCAAAGACAAACAAAGCCCGTTTAAGTGCTTTCCTCTCTAATCTATAGCCAAATGACATTTTGCCCTTCAGAAAGCCCTGGGGAATCTACCCTGTGTCAAAGCCGCTCACTAGAAAAACTCAGTTGTGACGCAACCAATAATGACCTCCTAGGTAGGGTTTTTTCCCACCACCAGCTTTCCCCTTTCTGAGTTTTCAGAGCTGGGAATGACGTTATTTCCAAAGTAACATCCTCCCACAATCCCGATGCAGGTGAAGAGTGAACCCGAGCAGCTGCCAATCTCTGAGAGGGACACATCGAGCCTTCCCTACAGAAGAAGTGCCATCTACAGTCCGAATCTGGCAGAGAAAAAACTGCAGGACGAGGACTATTACGAGTTTCCTCCACTTGCTGCAGAGGAGGGCAAGCAGGTGGAGATCATTGGGGGCCAGACTGAGCAGCAGAGAGAAAAGTTCCCATTGCTGGAAATCAAGAAGTAAGCGTGGGGCTCACTCTAATGTGCCTTTCTCTGGGAAAACCAGAACCAAGCTCCCTCCCAGGGCCATCACGAGTTTTCTCCTTTATTACTATGTCAGTCCAGCCCTCCACATAGGCAGGTGCCTAACATGAGCCATGTTGGTCGGTCTGTTGTTGTCAATGGAGACTTTTCACAGATTCAATTTAATCCATTGAAGTGATTTGCTGGATCAGGGTCTAAGCGAGGAAGGCTTGGGGTCTAAGTGAGGAAGGCTTGTATCCAGAAAGAGAAGGAAGCACTGAATGGCTACTTGAGGTGGCCAAAATGTCATTTCAAAACCATCTCGCAGGTGCCGTCCAAGCCAACAGGCATGGATAAATTGAAGGGCTTTGCTGCATCGGGGTCTAAGTGAAGAAGGCTCAGGGCTGTATCCAGAAAGGGAATGAAAAAATAAAGGATCTGAACCTGCCCCTCATTTCAGACTTTAACCACTTTAAGGAACTTGGGTGTAGAGGGAGGTACTGCTCGCCTCTGATGTCTTGCAAGGATGACATGACGTCTCCATCTCTGGGGAAGGTTTTTACTCAGGGAAACGTCAGCCCCAGCAGCCTTGTTGCTGCCCAGATGGGGGGGTCCTGTGCTACAGCCCATCCTATGCTGCCTGTGTTGAAAAGGGGGTCGGGGTTGGTGGGCGATTCAGCCAAAAAGCCAGAGAGCAAATTTTCCAACGGTTCTGTAGGCGGATTGAAAGAGCTCGGCAGACTTTAGATCCGGTGGACAGCTGGGAAAACAGCTCCAAGTTTAAGAAGCAGAGGGCTTTTGAGAAGAAACTGCTTGAACGGTATAGATCCCCCAACACCAAAGTCATCTCCCCTTTCCCTTCTGCCTCTTTCCCTGCAGGCTCCCCTTTTCCCCCCTCAGGAGACCTGTTTAAGGCTTTGCCCCCAGGGAAGAGGAGCACCCCTCCTTTGTACCTGATGTCAGTCCTATTTCAGGCTAGAAAGGGGGTTGGAGCCAAGCCTCAAATGGCCACCTTAGCGCCTGAGTCCAAGCTGAGCTGTGCAAGAAGTTTCCATTTCCTTCTGTCTCCAGGGGAAGTCATCACACACTTGCCCTTGAAAAACCCCACGAGGTGCCTCTCAGCTCTTTTTGGTGCCTTCAAGGAGTTGGTCCTTAGGCCTGTAACTTGCCATGCTCCAAGGTCAAAAACTTCAGTTGCCAAAAAAGGATGCTGCACCCCAAGGGCATAGGACTTGCCTTGCTCAGTCCCTCTCTGAAGAACTACATATGTGACACTACTGTGGTATCCTATGCAAGGGCTCTGCACTGTATCCTAATGTGCTGAGGGTCATTCAGTCCCTCATATTTCTAGCCTCCCAACCCAGAACCACATTCAGCTCTGTCAAAGGGCCAACCGTTCCCATTGACAATAGTGGGAAGAGTTGCAATGAATTAGATGGGCATTATTTCCCCTGAACACTTCTTGCGATGCTAAAAATGTAACATATGCCCACAGCTATATCTCCGATGAAAAGCTTGCAGAGAAAAGACAGCAGGACCAAGCAATGGACTGCCTGAAGCTTGCACAATATAGGCGAAACCAGAAGATCGTCCTTCTGGCCCAGCTCGTGCAGCAGAGAAGCAGTTTCTTTGCACAGATACCCAAGAATATGCCGTAAGCATGCAGCTCAGTCTAATGCAGGGGCAGGCAATTATTTTGGGTGGAGGGCCGCTTACTGAGTTTTGGCAAGCCATCGAGGGCCGCATGACAGCCCAGGGCAGATAAATATTACTTTTCTAAAGTGGAATGAGGCACTGAGTGGCCCCTTGAGGTGACCGAATGTCACTTCAAAACCCTTTCACAGGTGCTGCCCAACCCAAGAGGCATGGCCATTTCCAGCCCTGACAGTGCTAAGCAGATCAGCACCTAGAGAGGGTGAGGTCTATCATTATTTGATAGACCAGTGGTCTCTCAACCTTGCCTAGAAGAACATTTAAATAGTTGTTTTCAGTTTACACAAGACAGACCTGTCTCAGTAGATATCGTTCAGCCCCAAGCTCTTGTAGGAGGAGATGACCTAGATCCGTATCCCAAATCCAATGACAGAAGCTGGAGGATTTGAGTGTGCCCCCCCCCATCTCAAGCAGAGGCATGTCTTACACCTCAAGACCCGCGCCTTGTCATAATGCACGATGGGGTGTCTTAATACAACATCACGAAGCGCTGGGGATCATTCAGTCCATTCAATCTCCGACTCCTCCGCAACTCAGAGCCACTTTCAGCTCCGCCAGAGGGGCGACCGTTCCCAGGGAGCGTGATGGAGGGGCATGGGCTGAAACTAAACAGACATGACTTCCCCAATGAGCTAAAGTTAACGCACTTCTTTCTTAGGCTTTGGGATGCGGACATGTATTTTGTGTTGGAGCCTTGGGAGGATCGCAAAATCCATCCACCGGACGTTACAAAGGCTGTTGGCAAAGACGTGCAAGCAACTGCGGGGAGTCTGGTATTTGGCCAAACTCAAGCTGCATTAGAGGAGACAGAATGTCTTTTGGGGAAGCCCCCTCAGGATATGGGGGACAGGGCCCAGTGAAATGTCCTCCTGCCCCTTTGATGCTGCCAGGCCTTCCCTTATGGCCTTGCAGTCCAGCCCCTCATGCCCCCAGGCGTCCCACCTCCCAGTGGCTGCTACTTCAAGTCTTCCCCCACCTCCTCCAAGGCCTTCCATCAGTCCCGCTTTTTAAGGGTTCATAATTAAACAGCCTGCACTCGTCTTGTCTGAATTGTTACAGCGCCCAGAGGTTTTAGATGGACGTCCCATGCAATACCACCGATGGGACTAAGCAGGGAGGGAGTGGCTGTGACAAGTGTCTCGGCAGGAGGCTTTTCTGGGGGCTGGTAACTGGGTGTCTGATTGGAGCCCGAGGATTAGACTAGGTAGCACCTGGTATTTCGGGGTTTTGTAGGGGTTATTTTTCCCTCCCCTTTGGAGTGACGGATTGACGGGGCTTGCTCTGTAGGAGGTTGGTTTAGCTAACTGAGGAGTGGAGCTAGGCTAGGCAGGCTTGTAAGTAGGGATCTACCCAAGTTGTGGTGAGTGGAGCCAATTTTGCAGCCTTTTCACGGTGAGCCCGCCCCTCTGCACTGACTGGCTCTGGTGGCCCCACCCCTTGCCACTGATTGGCTGAAAGGGCTGTCCCCCATGTGCTCCCATCCTTCTCCACTGACTGGTGGAGAGGGGCAGAGCCAATCAGCAGTGAGGGATGGGTGGAGGGGGGGAGGCTGCCATCATGGTTGCTCTCCTTCACACTGGCAGCACTCCTCCCTCCCAGCAGACTATAAGGACCACTGGCTCCCACTGGGGAGCTGGCATTTTATTTTTAGTAAGCTAGGGTTCTTTTGATTTTGCAGATGTCATGAGCAACGCCTGATTTTGTGGTTTTCGCGAGATCTGCGAAATTGTGAATTAAGTTTAGGGTTACCATACATCCAGGCGTTCCCAGACATGTCCTCTTTTTTGGCCCCCTGTCCTCATGTCAGGGCGGGATTTTAAAATGCAAGCAAACGTCTGGGTTTTTGCTCTTCCTCTGCTTTCGTGGGGACTAGCAGCTTGGGACTGCTTCGGGCTGGGAGCAGCAGGCAAGGTGATTGGCTGTCGGGAGTCATGTGCTCTGTGCGCGGGCCCTGGCAAGCTCCCAGATAAGAGAGACAGTGTGTGTGTGTGTGCGTGTGTGTGCGTGCACGTGAGCTGTGTGGGCAGCAGGGCTGGAGGGGCAGGGGCTGCAGGTTGGGAGTGAGGGGCAGAGGCAGGGCATGGGCATATCACTGCCCCCCCACCCATCATATACCTCTCCTCCTTCTCCATCCTCCCTCCCCCTCACAGGTGTCCTTTTTTTTGATACTGGAAATATAGGAACCCTAATTAAGTAGGTCCCTATTTAAAAGAGGCAGCTTCTTGTGAACAGGGCGAGCAGCAAACAGAGAGGGAGTTTGCCTAAGGAGTTCACTCTAGGAGGGAGCCAGCGAGCCTGAAAGTGTGGGCATGAGGGCACAGGTGTGGGGCTTTGGTGTGTGGGTTTTGCTTACAGCTGAGATGTCCTCCAGGGAGCAAAGGAGGCATGTGTGGAGGCTGGGCCAGCAGATGTGACCTGTGTGAAATGTGCCATGTTCACGTTCCTCCCAGAGGCTCAAGGCCACTTCATCTGCACCGAGTGTAAGCTGGTGTCTGCACCAGAGGAAAAGATTCGAAGGTTGGAAGCACGGGTACCCATGCTGCATTTATATCAAGGAAAAGGAAGATTATTTGGACAGCAGTTATGAGAAGCTCGTACTGGAGAGGCCAAAGGGAAATGAGGAGAAGCAGCAGCATGTGACTACTCAAAGAAAGAGGGTCTCCAGACTTCAAGAGGAGCAGAACAAAGTCAGCAGCTGCTTTCAAGCCCTCTGCACTGGCACAGCTGAGAAGGAGGCAGAGGATGGCACATCTGCGGGCATGATGCAGAGGACTCGGCAGTCTAGAGAGCAGGGAGTACAGAGCCCTAGGGATGGGGATTTTAGGACCACTGTACCAAGAAGGATGTGGCTGCACAAGGAGCTTCTAGCATACCAGAAATGCAAAAAGAAGGCATACAAGCAATGGAAGAATGGGCAGGTCACCAAGGGCATGTACCGGGGAATAGCAAGAACCTGCAGGGACAAAATCAGGAAGGCAAAGATGAAGAACAAGCTGCACCTGGCAAAGGAGGGTAAGGACAAAAAGAGGGTCTATAAGTAGCTTGGCCAGATAAGAAAGAACAAGGAAGCTGTGAGTCCACTCTTAAATAACCAGGGGCAACTCTTAACAGAAGATGCACAGAAGGCAGAGCTACTCAACAGGTACTTTGCCTCAGTCTTTGCAAAAAAAATGAAGTTGCAACCAGACACCTAATAAGCATTGTCTGGATAAGGGATGGGGCAAGCTGAGGGAGGAAATAACAGAAGAAATGGTCAGCAAGCTTTTGCTGGGTCTGAATGTATTCAGGTAGCCAGGGCCTGATGAACATCGCCCCAGGGTACTCAAGGAACTGGCAGAGGAGATCTTGGAGCCCGTGGCAATGATCTTCATGAAGTTGTGGGAGATGGGCCAGGTACCAAAGGACTGGGAAAGGGGCAGTGCAGTGCCCCTCTTTAAAAAAGACAAAAAGGAGGACCCAAGGCAGTATAAATCAGTTAGGCGCGCCTCAATACCCAGGAAGGTACTGAAGCATATCCGAGAGAAGTCTATTTGCAAACATCTGGAGGAGGAAAGGCTGATCACAAGCAGCCAGCTTGCATCGACTAAGAATAAATTGTATCAGATGAACTTGATCTCCTTCTTTGACAAAGTACCTATGTGGGTGGATGAAGGAAATACTGTGAATAAGTAATATAATAAAGAATAAAGTCCGCAGTCACGTGGACAAACGTGATCTCTTGGGGAGAGTCAGCATGCTTTTTGTAAAGGAAAATCCTGCCTCAATCTGCTGGAGTCTTTTGCATGTGTTAACAAGCCGGGGGAGAAGGAGGGTCTAATTGCCACTTTCAAAAATCTTTTGACCAAGCCCCTCATCCAAAGGCATTTTAAAAAATGGAGCTGCCATGGGATTGTAGGGAAGGGTCTTTTGTGGACTGAGATCTGGTTAAAAGATAGGAAGCAAAGGGTGAGGCCACCTTTCCAGATGGAGAGAGATTAAAAGTGGGGTCCAGGAGGGATCTGTGCTGGGCCCCATTTTTTTCAACATTTTCATCGGGGATCTGGAAATGGGGCGGCGCGGTGAAATCTCCAAGTTTGCTTATGTCATGTACTGAGGTGTAAGCAGTCTGCCTAGTGGTTAATGTGCACCAATAACCAATGGTCCCAAGGCATAGCCAGGTTGAAACCAGAGGATCAAAGTCTGAATCAAGGCTAAAATGACAAGCAGAGCAAGGTCATGGAGCAAGCCGGTTTAGGTACCTCTATCATATCCCCCATCAGCCCCTCTCCTTTCCAAACAGGAGTCCTAGCCTTTTTAATAACTTCTGGTAGGACAGCTGCTCCCTACCTCTGATCATCTTTGCCCATTCTGTACCTTTCTAGTTTCACTACATCCTTTTTGAGAGGTGGAGACCACAAATGAAGACCTGCTTTACCTGTAACAAGTTTGGGTGTCATGTCTTGTGTTGTGTCGGGGTTGACTGTACAGTCATTTTGCTAAGAGGTTAGACAATGGATTTGTATGGGATGATTTGGATAGGGAAGATACTGCATCAGGCAGAGAGTTGGAGATAACTTCTGGAAGTCCTTTCCAGCCCTTCTCCTCTATGATTTCTATGAACTGCATGCCCTATTCAAGATATGGGTGCACCATGGATTTATCCAGTAGCATAATTATGTTTTCTGGTTTGTTTTCAATTCCTTTTTAATGATGCCTATTTTCTTGGCTGTTTTGTTTGCCACTGCTCATGGACCTGATGTTTTTAGAGAACGGTCTACAGTGACTCCATGGTATCTTTTCTGATTCACAGCAGCTAGATGACAGCCCAGAGCTCTGTATCTAGAGCTGAGGTTATTGTTCCCCCTGTGAATTATTTTGCACTTGTCAACAGTGAAGTTCATCTGCCACAATCAGTGGTGGCAAGACAAAGACCAAGGGATCCAGCTCTATGCTGACAAATGTGACGTAATGTCTTCCAGGCAATGAAAACTGAACAGATGGAAGGCTCTTCAATCCTCAATCCTCTTCAACCCCCCATGTCCCCAACTCCCCATATAATTACCTGCTGTCCAGGACGCCTGGTTGTGTTCCCAGCCTCATGCATGTGTGCGAGTGCACATGCACGTGACACCCCCTGCTCCCCACAGCTCCTTGCAGGCTGGAACGCTGCCAGCCGGCAAGGGGAAACCTGCCATTTCCCAAAGATGCCTGCACAATGCTGTGAATCCAGGACAAATGCTGTCCCCAAGTCATGCAGCCTCGGACCGGGACTTAATTTTCCCATTCTGGGACTGTCCTGCCCAATTAGGGATGGGTGGTCACCCTACAAAGCACCGGTGAGGGCATTCTGCGGCTCAGGGGCAGCCTCCTTATTAATATCAAAGGAACATCAAGGAAGGGCTGGCATGTTAAACAGGGGGGTTTATATAGAGGACCAGAAGTGCGGGCAGAATTAAGGTGGCCCTAGGGGTGCCACAGCTCTCCTAGAGCCTGTCCTGCTACAGTGGCATTCACCCCGCCCAGCAGCTGGTAGTGAAAACCTTGTGGAAACCTCCTGTCTCAGGTACTACATGGCCACAACACTAGACAAGCTCAGTGACCCACCGTCTTTTATCTGTTTAGCCTCACAGCACTTCTGCAAGGGAGGAAAGTGCTCATCCCCAGTTGACAGATGGGGAGTGAATGATCAGAGACACCAAGGCTCAGATCCTATCCCACCTACTTAAGCAGCATCTAGGTGGACACAGGTCCCCAGCTCTGATCCTGTTCCTGAAGAAGTGTTGAACGCTCCTCCTCTGGGCACATGCTGTGTCTCAGCCCTGCACCTGTCACAAAAAAGCAGCTGTCAGCAGGCAGCTCCACCGCCGTTTGTGTTACCTGGTTTCTGGGCATTCAAGCAGGGTTAAGTGGATCATACTTGGGTGCCTAAAGCCACTTAGATGCCTAAGAGGCAGACAGAGAAGTAGCCCTAGGGCTCAGACCCTCAAAGAGATTAGGCACCAAACTCCAACGAAGGGAAGCAAGGAAGCAAGGAACGAAGGGGCTTCCTGACTGGTGAGGAGCTTGTGACTTAGCTGGGGGCAGGCTGTAGATGATATGGGCACACGGGCACAGTCAGGTTCAACGGTGCATGCCAGAGCAACAGCTAAATGGAGCTTTTCTGCACCACTTCCTCTCCTGAGCTCCTTGGGCTGGGCGGGTTTTGTCTGCAAGACCCTGAGACCAGCCTCTCCACACTCATCGTGTGTAGTTAGTGACTGGATCAGGAGCTGGGGAAGGATACTAGGCACTGAGGCTGGGATAAAGATTCCCACCCTTGCCTGTGTCTCATCTACTGTCCACCTCAATTTACATTTTAATTGACTGGCTTTCTTGCATACGTACTGGCCTCTGGCTGCTTTACCACTCCATCCAGGAAGAGCACAGACCATCTGCAGGTGCTTCCTCAGCCTGATGAAGGGCGTTTGTGCCCGAAAGCTTACTAAGAAAATTTTTTCCAGCTATTTGAGTTGGTCTAATAAAAGATATCGGATGTACCCAAAGAACGACAAGTCTCTCACTG